TTGAGTAATGGGACAGACACCGGGCACTTAGCTGCGCTAAGTGTGTCTCAGTGTGTCTGTCAGCAGTTTGATTAGGTACGTGAACAAGCTGGAGGCTTGCTGTGTGTGCTGGACTTCCTGTTGCATTTAAAACAAGCATTTAAAAGTTATAACCCAGGAGTCATCAATTTTTTATGTCAGTTGTTTGGGGAAAAGATTTAAAGTTGATCTTATTTTTGGATATCCTTCTACAAATGTTMCAAGAGCAGCCAGTGTAGTTGCTACAAGACAATCCAGTTATCTTAAAATGTTTTTTAAGCTTGGCAAACTGTCAAAACAATTTCAGTTGAAAAATTTGGGAAAAAAGTTTAAAAATGCAAGTTTTGTTGTAAAACATAAGGAAGGCTATCCTAAACTGTCTCAAATGGTGCAATTTGAAAGGGAAGCTTACCCTTGGACCTATTTTAAATCACGTAAGCTTTTTCTGTAGATAAACAAATGGGCACATGGTAGTGGGCATCCTGTCACAAATTTTACTTACAAATTTTTAGCTTAAGGACACAATAACCATCTGTGTGAGAAAAATATTGTTCAGATTTTGTTTCTTACTTAAATATTTTTACCTGTTCTTTGTAATGTGTACCTTCAATGAAAGCAGCCAATGATCCAAACTTTTCTACCATCCAATCCCTCATTCTGAGCATGAATGAAACAATAGACTACAGTGCCGAGAAGAACACTTTTTATTAGAAACAGACTTTAATGCAGAACTAAATTTATAAATTATGGCTGTCTGGCAATTTAGGCACATGGCCCATTTGTAGTTTAAGAAAGTTGTCAGTGAACCTGTCAAATACAGCATCAAGTGCCTGATTCAAGGTGTGCAGGTCAAGTAGGGGACAATTTAAATTTGTTGTATTTTCTAGTATTATCATCAAAAATGCTCAGATGAGCTGCTCTTGCTATTTTTAACAATCATTTCTCTCTGACATCTCACGCATTATGAGATCCAGCTTCTGTTCTTTTTTCCCAGAACAATGGGATGTTTTCTGCCTCTTAGAAAATTTCAGAGATTTCTGACTCAGAGGCATAATAATGCAAAGAACAATGAAAAGAAATATGTTAAAATTAGCACTTTTTAGGTGACCCTATACCTCTTTTCCTTATTTTAGGAGAAAAAAATGCTACTGATGTTCAGAAAAAAATATATTCTATGTGGACATATCATGAAGCTTGCACTGTGTTCTCTTGCAATGTTCTACAGTGTTTTAGAACAAGACAAATGTCTTAAACACATTCAAATTTGCAGAGAAGCTTCTTCTACCTAACTGCAGCCTTATCAGGTGTGTGGTTCATGTACCTTCACATTGTTGAAAGTTACTGCAGAGCACTTTGTTCTCTTTATAGGTTAACAGCACTGCAGTATATAAGTGAAGCCCATTTAGCACATAAATAGCTTTGAAARATAAAGCCACTTTGCAGAAGTAGTTTATTTTTTGTTTAATCTTGCCTGTGTTAGTCCTTTTTTCTCTTTATGTTCTCCTTATTTTTGTCTTTCCTATTTTCTGTATTTTGAATTATTTTTTTACCTGTGTATTTTTATCTTGTGTTCAACCAAGAAAAGCCACTGCAAAGAGAACATTTTCTAACACATACACACACCCACAGTATCTCCTTCACATTTCTCATGTTTGTTTGTTTACGTCAGAAAGGGATCGTTCTAATTGAGAGGCAAACCCACTATAGATCCAAAGGGGGTCTCGCTCCCAGTGGGGAGGCAGATAGACCTGCCTCGAGAAGCACAATTAACGGGATTTAATTTGCTAATGAATTATCCTGAAAGTGTTCAGAGATGAATATGTGAATCAGAGTGAAAAATTTCTTTGTTTTAAACCAAAAACCCTTAGTTTTGTATGCATTTTTGCGTGCATTCTGTTAATATTTAGCTTGTTTTGCTCTAACGTCAAAGTGTTGTTTACCCATAATTATATTTTGATGTAGATGTTCAGCCTTTATTTAATAATTTAGACAATTTTTATTTCACTCAGTTTGGCTTTTATTTAAATGGAAAATTAGTGCAAAAACACACTTCACAAAACGGTTGTTATATTATTTGCAAAATCTCCATAATGTGCTTCAGTCTAATCACCAGTCATGTTATCAGAAAAGGATCACTTGGCGTTTACAAGTTAATGTTAGAAAAGCACAGTGTTTAAGTTGCTTGAGAGTTCAGCCCTGACAGGCAGTTTACAGCAGCGTTGGTGGTGTGATTCAGTATTTGGTTACCCCTTAAGGATCTGGCAGCAGCATGCTTGTTTGTGTGTGTTTGTATTTATGCTGCATGGACTCACATATGCCTCAAGGCCAATGTAAACAAATGCTAATGTAATTACAGACTGAGTGTAGCAACAACCTGCAGCTAAGGTTAGTGCAGCGCACACATGTGGTGGGGTATTGCATCAAATGGCTGACTGTACCAAGACTGATTTCTGGGTCGTTTTAATTGTTCATCAAGTTAGTTCAGGAGTTTTTGAATCAAATTCAGTGTTTTAATTTGTGGCAACAAACGTTTTATTTTTCTTGGAAGCAATTTCTATAAATGCAAAGATACTAAAAAGTAGAGTTGTTGCCTAATCAGTTTGTATACACTTTTTAGTTAATGCACCTTTTTACCAGCATAATAATTCATTGTTATGAAGTGAGTCAATGCAAGTGTGATCCATGGTGTCACCAGCGTTCGTGGTTGCGCCCAAGCATCCATGTTGCTTAAGCGTTCCCCGGTGGGTGTCTGTGCAGCGCTTTGATGTGTGTGTTCCATCTCGGATACAGCACCCTGACATCGCTACATTAAAGGGGGTCATTATATTTCCCTGACTGCCACAGAAAAGTGACGTTTTTACAAAGTGACAAGTTTACAGTTTGATAAATCAGATTTTTTGCTGCGAGCAGGGTGGGGAGTCAGAAGATGGAACGGTGAGAGGCAGAGCTGGGTGAGTAGGAGGAGGCGGAGGAGGGAGGCAGTGCTGCCTGTCAGCGACGCCCAGGCCCTGTCGTCTAAATGATGCTCCCAGGCAGCAGATTCAGATCCCATCCCCATTAGCATTTAATTTCTTTCTAATCCTACACGCAGTTTCCGCCGCTGCATGGTAACGAGGGCCGCTTTGCCCCAGCAGCTCCAACAAAAAAAAAAAAACCTCCAAGAGCAATCTGCAGCATGCTTGCCTTTTATAGCTCCTTGCCTTGTCYTAGATATCATTCTTTCTTGACAATTAAGACCCACAAATCTAATAGAAATGATATTGGAATTACAGCGAGGCCCTTTTGAGGGCATGTCACGAAAAAGAGCTGTGCCTCCCAATGCAGCTGTCAAAGCACACSGCCCTCCCCGTTCATGCCCGCTAAACGTTTCTGATGTGCACACACCAGCGCACGCACGCACACAATAGAAAGGGGAATATGTTGAGTCTTTGGCTGTGATCTTTGTAAAATGTGCTCTCTGTGCCCTCTTATCCAACTCTCCAAAGACTTGTTACAGCAGCTTTTGTTTTCTCTCTTCCCCTCTCACTTCTCTTGCTCTTGGTCTTTGTCTCTAAATTTCTCTTCATCTCTTTCTCATTGATTCTCCCTGGTGTGTCAGAGATGTTGCTTTCTTTTTATTTTTCACCAGCAGGGTTTTTTTTTCTTTCTTTTTTTTTTAAACAGATGACGGGATGAGTAACTCGGTGAAGTTGTCCCTTGGTGCTCTATGAGGACATTTTATGGGTACATTCACTCTAATGGTAGCAGTTAAAGATTATCATGGGTAAAATATATTTTAGCCTAAGGGACACAGCTGTTTTATCATTAGATTACATAGATGAAGTTGTGTAGGTATGGCATTCGTCCTGTGCTTTGTGATCTCTCAGGCAGCACTGTYACAAAGTAAATGAGTTGATTGTTTTTGAACAGCAATTTAGAATGATTTTAAGTCTGATTTGCTGAGCATGAAGCTTTAACTTGGGCTGTGCTGGTGCTTACTGTAACACATTTTAACAAGACACAAACACATCATCAACAGATCATTATAAAATTTGATCATTTTGAGAAGATTAAATAAGGCTCAAGGTGTGAATGCGTAATCAACTCTGACGTACCAAAACAGCAAACTCTGGTACGCCTACAAACATAAGTCTTGGCTCGGTTGAAGTGAACTCTGGTGTGGTTTGAATGCTTGTGTGAATGCTAAGTGGACTGGAGACTGCTCTAAAAGGAAGCAGACTGTAACACAGGGCATTTTGATTAATGGTAATAAAGTTACTCAAATACTTTGCCCGATGTCTAAATAAAGTGGATATCACAGCTATGAAGTTGGATGCTGTTTCTTTCAGTGGTTCTTGGTGTAACGCCACCACAGGCAAGGGGGTCAACAGATTGTTCACATGGGTTTAGTCCGTGCAACACAGTGCAGTGTAAAAGTGAACTGCACCAGCTGAAAATGTACAATTCTTGCAATGTTGGTCCCCAATTGAACCGAGTGTACCGGACTATCAGATGTGAAAGCAGCCTAAAAAAGAAGACCTGTGTAAAGTTTTGGTACATGATTCTGACTGAGGTTGAATTATCGTTGAAACTGTTTTTAATTTATTATTTTTATTTTTTTAATTAAACCTGTTTCTTTCATTCATAAATACCACAGTACMATTGCTAACTAGCAGCTCTATATTAATTTTAACAAGAAACTTATAAGCAGTACTATTTATCAGTTTCTTGTTAACATTCAAATAAAAACTCTCCTTCAACCAATATGGCTCCCTAAAACCAAACATTCAAAGACATATGCATCAAATTTAGATGTAAAATTAACTATCCAAGTTTTTTGCAAGACTATCTTTTCCCTTAGTATTATGTAAATCTGCAGACAAGTCTGTTTTTGATGTTTGTTTTGTCCATTCTGTCTTCAAGTAACAACGATGGCCTACAAGCTCTTACGTAACAAAATTTGACAAACAAATATTGCAAATTGTAATTAAGAAATTATGCTATCATGCTATTATTGTTTAATTGTTTCTTTGTCACTTTCCGGCAGACTCCAGCAGAGCAGGCTAAAGTCCGAATGCAAATGGTCCTGCAGGCTGCGGGTAAGTACAATTATTGCTTTTCTTTTTATCGTAATGCAGTTATCCACTGTTATAATTGTCTGGAACTTGCCACTTATGCCCACTCACTCATGAAGTTCTGCTAATTGGAATGCACCAGCTATAAATGTAGTGTAGTTCAGCCTTAATGTGGGGATTTTTTTCTTTATGCTTTTTAAGTTGTCGAAGATCCAGACAGTCTTTCATTTCTGTGTTTTTAAATGACAAATCAGTCGGATGCTACTTTCTTAAATGGTTTCTCAGCAATGTCTACTTTCATTTATATATATATATATATATA